TTTTAAAATCAAGCAAATTCCATACGGATTAAAGATAATGAAACCATAAAAGCATAATTCTTTGTTAAGCCAGTCTGTTAGTTTCTTGATATTAACTTTTAAATGTCATATTTAGGTTGAGAAAAAAGTAGTTTGAAGAGTAAACAGGCAGAACAATATGCAGAAGAGGACTGGGACAAAACTGTGTCACTAAAAGTAACTATCTGAAAATTATTAATATCTAAAATCAAGTAAAATAGTATTTGATTATATTTTTATAAAAGCAAATACATTAAATATAAGCTACATTGTTGTTGTTAAGTGCCATGGAGTCGGTTCCAACTCATAGTGACCTTGTATAGGATTTCTGAGGAGTGGCTAGTGAACTTGAACCGCCAACCTTGCAATTCAAATCGACTTTGCAGTCCAGCGTATTAACTTACAGTGACATACCAGGACTCCTTAGTTACATTACAATATATTAAAATACATTAGCAATGGCTATGGGATTTATAGCAGAAATAGTAAATACTATTTTTTTAAAAGAAGTCCTGGTGTGGCGCTGTAGGTTAATATGCTGGCCTGCAAAGTCAGTTTGAATCACAAGGTTGAAGGTTCAAGCTCACCAGCTGCTGCTTGAAAACCCTATACAGGGTGTTATAGGTTAGAACCTACTTGATGGCACTTAACAACAACAACGGCAAGTACAAAAGTTTACACTGAATTTTCTCAGACACAAATATTGCACCTGGTTTATACAATTTAAAAATTATTAATATCTAAAATTAATTTGTTATTCATATTTCTTGAGTGTCTACTCTGGGTATATAGGGAAGGTTCTGTCTGAATAATAGGGACATAAACGTTTATACAAACTTTACAATATGATTTTAAACACATACTACTCATCCTAGTAACTACACTAAAACATACTATAAAGCTATAATCATTAATCCAGTGTATACAGGCACAGGAAGAGACAAATGGATCAATGAAACAAAAATATTCCAAATATAGATTCTTATGGAAATTTACCATATGATAATCACATTTCAAAACTGTGATGCAACAACAGACTAATGACTTAGAAAAGACTCAAAAATGCAGAAGCCTCATGGAAAATACTGATAAATTTGATGTAACAACTAAAAGGTTTGTACAAAACAAAGAAAGAGACAAGTAATATTGAAATATTTGTAACACACCCAACAGGCAAAAGATCAACATTAAAAAATATAAAGAAATACTTATAAAACAATAGGACTCCTGGTGTGGCACTATAGGATCAGCACTGGACTATGAACCACAAGGTTGGCAGTTCAAACCCACCAGCCACTCCTCGGAAACCCCATACATGGTCGCTATGAGTGGAAATCAACTCAACAGCACTTAACAACAACGTAAAGCAGTAGATACACAACTGAATAGTAAAATGGGCAAAACAAAGATGAATCAGCAATCCACAGCAGAAAAATAAATGGCTAAACGTAGATTTGTAACTTCTATTACAATAATAATAATGATAACAACATAAACACATGATGCCTAGTCCTGGTATGATACTGTAGGATAAGCACTAGACTGCTAACCACAAGGTTGGCAGTTCAAACCCACCAGCCACTGCTTGGGATCCCTATAAAGGGTCACGATGAATCAGAACCTACTCAAGGGCACTTAACAACAGTGCATCAAATACTTTTCTAAATGCTTTACGAACAACTCATTGAATCTTCACAACTCTAAGATGGGTACTATTATTTATTCCCATTTTCAGTTGATGAAAAGCCCAGGTTACAAAAGTTGCCCAAGGGTGCAGGACTGAGGTTCCAACACAGGTAGGATAGCTCTAGACTAGTCCAGGCTTTTAAACACTGGATTACTTTCCTAGGGATCGAGGAATCCAAGGTAATAGACACTAAAACAAGGTATCATTTATTGTCTAAACTGGATAAAAAGTGAAAAGACTGACCTAGTGGATGTGGGAAAATGAGACTTGTCAACAGTTTGTTGAGAGAATATGATAAGAGGGCAGTTGGACTCTGTCCTACAGTTACTGAGTTGGAATTGACTCAGTGGCATTGGATTTGGCTTTGGTTTCCCACTGTAACAAAACTATTCTTACAGAAAGATACTCTGAAACAAAGTTCAGAAAATCGTTATACCCAATAAGAGGCAGCCAATAGCCCGTTTCTTCTTGCTGTTGTTAAGTACCATCAAGTCAGTTCTGACTCATAGTGACTCTCTGCACAACAGAATGAAATAGTGTCCGGTCCTGCACCATTCTCACAATTGTTGTTATGCTTAAGCCCATTGTTGTTGTCACTGTGTTAATCCATCTTGTTGGCTGCTTACTAATCAGCCAAGTTTTACTAAAACATTAATTTTATCCTTTCTTGAAGGTAACTAGTAAATCCTAAAACTCCTTTCCTTTTCTCTGTCATCAGATGCCAATAAAGATGTCAGAGGAGGAGAAATCCATTGCTCTTGTGCTAATGTTTTTAAGTGGGGAGGAGTCCATCAGTGCTGGTCAAACCTTTCCTAAACTGGATGCTGTCACGTCATCACTGAATTGGGAAATTCACTTTTCCTTTTAGTAGCGGACACAGGTTTTGCTTTCTACTAGTTTTTCTACATGTTTCTCAGCTTTTCTTAACAGGTTCAGGAGCCAAGAGAGAAGGTGACAAGCTCAAACTTGCCCTTTCTGCTTTGTTCATAAGTTATTTTTTAAAAAAAACCTTTCTTGTCTCTTGACCACCTTCAGGTCTGGAACAGAACTCACCCTCATGGCCCACTTTCTAGCCAAGCAGTAGATAGGTATAATTGTTGTTGTTGTTAAGTGCCATTGAGTTGATTTCAACTCATAGCAACCCTGTATAGGGTTTCCAAGGTGCTTCTGGTCTGTTTGAACTGCTGACCTTGTGGCTTACAGTACAGTGATGATCTTAAAGCGCCACATCAGGTAGGTACATAGGGGGGACAACAACACTTGTAAGGTATGCTTACCATGATATTGTCAATCATTCAAGATCAAAAGGGCAACATTTACCTAAAGACAAAATTGAGAAGGGATGGGAAGCAGGGTGAAATAGAAATAAGAACCATAAGGAGGAAGTGGGAAAAGTCTTGTTACATGGAGGGGAATGCAAATCATTGAGATGAAACAAAGTATATAATCTGTTGAGTATAAAACTGATGATCTTCGAGAAACCTTCACACCATTTACAAAGTTTAAAAAAGAAAAAAAGGCCCTTTCTTGTTTATACCAATACGTTGATTCCAATCAGACAAAAGTTTTGCTTCTGAAATCTCTCCACTTTCTAGAGCCTCCAGTATACTGTCTACCAATCCCCAAAGTAAAGTCAGAGTGACCCCACAGGACAAAGCAGAACTGCTCCATAGGGTTTCCGAGACTGTAAATCTTTATGGGAACAGACAGCCTCATCATTCTCCTGCAGAGTGGCTGGTGAGTTTGAACCACTGCCCTAAGAGTTAGCAGCCCAAAGCTTAATCCGCTGCACCACAGCACACATGCCAAAAGACAATACAAATTCCTTAAGGGGAAAAATGAAATCCACATCAGCACTTTTCTAACACTGTAATCATCCTTTATCTGCTTCATGGGCTTCATTGTGCAGAGAAAGGTACATGGAGCTATATATAAAAAGTCTAAACTAAAAGTCACTATTTAAAAGTACTGAAAGTTTAGCATGAATGGCAGGATGCAAAAGCGATATAGCAGTCAGTTTAAAACAAACAAACAAACAAACCGGTCAGTGTCCATTTAAAAGAATGCCTGCCATTTGTACATTCAAAACATCCTGACCTTTCCCCCCATTTTGTGTCTTAAAAACTCCTATCTGCTTATTTTCTGATTATGATGCAGCCATTATTTGCTGGGGGGAAGTAGGCTTTAAGAAACCCAGCAGACAGCTCACAGAGGACAGCACTTGACTACAACTCCAAGAGGGTGCGGGTGGGGTACATGGAGCCCTGAACTGTAGACTCTACATTTGCAATGAGAGAGGCATTCAAGACTGGTCAGGGATTGGAAGTAAGAAATCTACAGGCAACAGGAAACTGTCCAACAGGAACACCCAAGAATGCACTTCTTTTCCATCTGCAGCCTACGGTTACTGATTAACCCGCCATGAAGACACAAAGCTCCCTTACTGCATACATGAGAGAAGGTGGCAAAAGGGGCATCACACCAGGCCTATGTGCCCCAGGGTGTCCAGTCGTTGCTGGACAGCTCCACCATCTGTAAGCGTTGCCCGAACACACCAACACACTGGCAAGCTCAGATGAGACCTTGGCTAGGGGTCCCAGGGCATACCCAAAGCACGTCAAGGTAGTGTCCACACTGTTCAGGCTCCTCATTTTTTCGGGAAAGCAAACGGAAAACCTGCGGGGGAGAAGCAGTGACCACCCCATGCCTCAAAAGCCAGGAGGGAAGCTCAGGTGGACCTGGGGCCTCTCCTGCCCCACCGCCCTCTCCTCTGGCCCTGGAAGAAGCCACAAGTGAGGCAGGGAAGTTGGGGGACGAGGCGGGCAGGGCACGGGGGCTCGGGGGCTCGGAGAGTTTTTCGCATTTGTCCCACACAAGGTCACTCGCTCCAAGTCACTTTCCCTGTGCTCCCCCCCCCCCCCATGGGCTTCCCGCCAACCAGGTTCTGGGGGCTTCGCGGGAGTCCACCGCGCTCCTCCTGGAGGGCTGCAGTCCCTGGCTGGCTTGGGGTCCCAGCTGCAGCTTGGAGCCCAGAGGGCCTCCCTGACACTGGTTTGCAATACCCGGCGCCTATCCTGGGCCAATTCCTGGGGCCCCCCCCTGCCTCCACCCCCAGGTTCCTGTCAACGTCCCCTTCCTCCCGCAGAACGCCCCTCTCCAGCCTCCAGCTCCCATCCCGCCGCCCTTCACCTCAGGTGCCCACCCGACTCGGCACCCCCGGCCCCACGGGTCTCCTCACAGAGCAGCAGGCTCCCAGTCCTCCCGGCCCCGCCCTGCCCCGCTCCCGGGCGGATACAGTTTGAAGCCCCTCAGGATCTCTCTGGCCCGCTCGTCCTTGGCTGACATGATGCTGCGGCCGCTGTCCCAGCTCTCACACGCTTTCCCAGCGGAGCCTCGCAGATGGTGCCGAGGAGCCGAGGACGGAGCCGCAGCCCGGCCTGGAGACCTCCGGCAAGCAGCAGCAGCGGCCAGACCTGGACCGGCCTCTCCCTCTCTACAGCTCCCGCTCCTTATCCCTTCTCCTTCCCTCTAGCCTCTGAGCGTCCGCCCCGTAGCCAATCGACAACCCATCTCGGCGACTGGCATTCTGTTCAGCCAATACAAATACTCAGCGGCTTCGCAGGGGGATGGGGAGCGTCAGTGGGTAGGGCCCTCCCTGGGAAGTCCCTTAGGACAAAATTTTCACTAGGTGTTGTTGCCTGGAGTTTGTCCCAGCGGAGGGGTGGCTTCAGAACTACAGAGACTCAAGGGACCCACTCCCGCGGCTGGGCACACTGGAGCTCTGAGGTGACAGCGAGTTGCACTATGTGATGTGACCATGACTACATTTCCCGGCAGTCCACGGGCGCACTCGGAGAACCACCGACCCCGACATGCAACAGAGACTACAAACCCTAGCATTCCTTATACTCTGTTCAGTAACTTAAGACTCCAGCGTGCCGCGCAGTATGCACAAATTCGTCAACCAGTCCGCAAGTCTCCCTGGTTTTTGAATCCGGAGACTTGTGACCAAGCAGGGAGACCCTCTTCACCTTGAAATGAAGATGACAACCCACAGAGAGCTAACTTCTGTTTACACGGAACTCAGCATTCTCCCACAAATCATGGTAAGATGGCAACAACAAACAAAAACACTGATTTAACCACTAAAGAGACTAACAAAATGACTCCTTCAAATCGTGCTTGTTAGTTGGTCTGGGGGCGCTTTTGACAGGGTTTGCAAGGGTATTCTAGTATATTCCTGCACTGGACTGGAAGATATGTGGACTTTAAACTCAGAATAGCAACGCAGGAAGGGACTTTAGAAAATGGGGGAATCCAACCCGTTTTTACATATGAGTAAACAGAGGCCCAGAAATTGACCACAGGTCAATGTCAGAGTTAGAACTAGCCCTTCCTCTCTCGACGCGCAGGGTTGAAACACCCTCCAAGGTTAGGTAAGCATTTATTTAGTGGGTTTCCTAAAAGTGAAGGATTCGAATGTGTATATATCTTCAGCCTAGGTGAGACTTGGAGTTCTGATTTGTTCTTTGTCAAAGTGACATTTAATCTGGTGTCAGGAACTAGATAAAATTGCCCTGTATGTCAAGGTTTCCTCGGAGACCTCTTATCTCCTTTTCTAGGTTTGCCTTCCTCTTCCTCTTCCCTTTCTCACTCATCTGGCACCAACCCAGTTTTTTCTTCCATGTAATTCAGCAAACATGTTTTCAGCTTCCTTTAATTGTCAGACACTAAACTGTAAGTCCTGGTGTGGCGCTGTGGGCTAATGCATCGGAATGCAAAGTTGTTTGAACTGCAAGGTCGGTGGTTCAAGCTCACCAGTTGCTCCTTGGGAACCCTATACAGGGTCGCTATGGGTTAGAATTGACTCGACAGTGCTTAACAAGAACAGAAACAACTCTTAAATCCTGAGGAGCTCTGGTAGTGTAGTGGTTATGAATCTGGCTGGTAATCTCAAGGTCAGCAATTCAAAACTGCCAGCTGTTCTGCAGGAGAAAGATGAGGGTTTCTGCTCTGGTAAAGATTTACAGCCTCGGAAACCCTATGGGAACCTACTCCACGGCACATAACCACCACCACCACCACCACTGCAAGTCCTGCGTGGGTCAATGCGCTAGACCGCAAATTGGTTTGAGGTTGGTGATTCAAGCTCACTAATTGCTCCTCGGAAACCCTAGACGGTAGCTGTGAGTCAGAAACAACTTGATGACACTTAACATTGAACAAAAAGGAGTCTTGGTGGTGCTGTAGGATAAGCAATGGACTGCTAACCGAAAGGTAGGCAATTCAAACCCTCCAGCCAGGAAGCTAATCATCTACATTGGCAAATAAGGAGTCACCAGAGATTCCAGGGGAGCTTGATAAATGGCATAAAAGATATATCAGAATGCCACAGGGGTCTCGATGGTAAAACTTCATGCTACAGGGTCTTGATGGTAAAACTTTATGGAGGAGTGGCATTTGAACTTGAAGAATGGATAGGATTTTCTTCTATTTAAAAAAATGTTTTTTTTTAAATTATCTTAAATATACACCTGTGATACCACCATCCAATATAAAAATATAAACCATTTCCAGTGTCCCTTGGGATCCTACCAATAGTACTTTATCTTCCCAGTACTACTGATAGAAGTTAGATGAAGTACTATTTGGGCCTGGGCCTCTATCAGTATAGAGTTAGATGAAGTATTCTGGCAATGAATATCATTGAAACTTAACCATACTGCATGCAGTTTTCTAGTCGCTTTTTTGTTTGGTTCATCAATATTTCTGTGAGATCATCCATGTTCTGTGTAGCAGCAGTTTTTTGCTTTTATTGCTGAGTAGTGTTTTATTGTGTGCAAACCCAGGTGGCACAGCAGTTAAGTGTTTGGCAGTGCACTGAAAGATTGGTGGCTCAAACCCTTGTTGAAAGATGTTGCAGTTTGCTTCTGTAAAGATCTTAATCCTGAGGACCCTGGGGGCAGTTCTACTCTTGTCCTGTAAGGTTGCTGGGTGTCAGAATTGACTCCACAGCAACAGGTTTATTCCACTGTTATTGTTAGGTACCATCAAGTCAACACCGACTCATAGCGACCTTACGCACAACAGAACAAAACACTGCCTGGTCCCATGCCAACCCCAGTGGACTCCTTGCTAAGCCTGAGTGCTTGCTGCTGCCACTGTACTAATCCATCTCATTAAAGGTCGTCTTCTTTTTCTGGGATCCTCCACTTTACCAAACATGATATCCTTCTCTGAGGGGGCTGGTCCCTCCTGACAACAGGTCCAAAGTATGAGAGATTCTGTCTGGTCATCCTGTCTTCCAAGGAGCATTCTGGCTGTACTTCTTCTAACAGAGATCTGTTGGTTGTTTTGGCAGTCCATGTACTTTCAGTATTCTCCAACACCATCACTCAAATGCATCAATTCTTCTACTGCCTTCCTTTCCTTATTCACTGTCCAACTTTCACCTTACACAAATTCTGGCTTTCACAGGTTTTGCTGCATCATCCTTCAAGTCTCTGGCTTATCTTTCCACTCGCTGAATAGTGTCTTTTGATTAACAGAGATTCTTGATTTTAATGTAGTGTAGTATGTAACATACACCAGTTCAACAGTTTGTACATGTACATTTCAACGACATCTTTGAATTGGTAACCACCCAACTTTGGTGTCTGCACAATGACTTTTCCTTCTCTTTTTATATGAGATTATATAATGTTTGTCCCTTTGTGATTGGTTTATATCATTCACCATAATGTCATCCAGCTCCATCCATAGTGAGGTGGTGGCTAGTGGTTGTGTGCTGTGGAGTCGGTTCCGACTCATAGTGACCCTGAGTCATAGGGTTTCCGAGGCTGTAAATCTTTATGAGAGCAGAATACCTTATCTTTCTCCCACAGAGCAGCTGGTGGTTTTGAACTGCTAACCTTGAGGTTAGCAGCCCGACTCATAACCACTACGCTACCAAAGCTCCATACTTGCTTATCCGTTTTTCTGTTGATGGGCATTTCAGTTGCTTCCACATTTCAGCTCTAGTGAATAGTGCTGCACTGAACATTGGGGGACAAGTCTCTATTTGAGTGAGTCTCTGCTTTGGAGTCTTTGGGGCATAAACCTAGAAGTGGAATTGCTAGGTCATATGGTAGTTCTATTTTTAGTATTTTGAAGAACAACCAGTTTTTCTTCCATTCCGTGGCTTCTTTTACAATGCTGCTTTTTGCATCCTGCTTAAGGCATTTTTTTGCTGACAGGGTTGGTAAGATTTTAATAGGCAACTATGTGAGAAGAGGAATCTTAGTGTGGCGTGGTGGATTAATGTGCTGGTCTGCATAGTCAGTTTGAACCACAAGATAGGCGGTTCAGGATCACCAGCCGCTCCTCAGAAACCCTGTACAGGGTTGCTATGGGTCAGAATCAAAAGCACTTAACATGTGAGAAGAATGTTGCAAATGGGAGATGAGCTGAATGAAGCATACACCCTGGTTTCAGGGAGGGAAATTGTAGGGGTGCTGGGCATGGAAAGCTTGGAGTTGGACTGGATGGGGTGGCTGGGGGCAAAGCTGGAAGGGGCCTACCTCCAAGGGTTTTAACTTCGGCCTTGGAATCTGGACATCATTCCGGGGGACGCAGAGGCACTGTGGAATGAACTTTGAGTGCTAGGAGGGAAGCTGTATTCTTCTGAGACCTTAAATAGTTCTATCTGGTGGTGCAGTGGTTAAAGCACTAGACGACTAATGGGAAGGATGGCATTTGAACCCACTGGTTGTTCTGCAGGAGAAAGATGTGATGCTTCTGTGAAGTTTGCTGCTGTGAAGATTTAAAAACTTTGGAAACACTTTGGGGTCAGCTCTACTGTGTCTACCGATGAGTCAGACTCTACTGGAGGATCATGGGCTTGGGTATGTAGGGACACTAAGCACTGAGTAGGCTGAGGAGAAGGACCAGGACAGCTCCTGCATAGTCTCCCACCCATCCAAACAAAAGCCTGTGGTCTGCACATGTGACTTCCCTCCCTTCCTCCTTAGAAGGTGCTTAGTAATAGCTTCTATTTACAGGAAGGGGTCTGGTGGCACAATGGCTAAGTGCTCGGCTGCTAAATGAAAGGTCAGCAGTTTGAACCCACCAGACGCTCCTTGTAGGAGAAAGATGAGGCAGTCTGCTACCATAGAGACCACAGCCTTGGAAACCCTATGGGGCACATCTGCTCCACTTATGGGATCGCTGTGAGTTGAAGGCAGTGGGTTTGGAAGTGAGTTTACTGGAGCATAAGGGAGGAAAGGCATGGCTAACCCCCTTCCTCATCCTACTCAAGAATCCAATGAAGGATTCATTTCAAGCATCCAGCTGTTGGGTGTCAGACTCAGCTTCTGAGTACGTAGGTGCCAGAGACCGAAAAAAATGATTAGAACTCATTCCGACAGACATGAGTTTATCACAGAAAAGAGAATAAACGAGATGGTTTACTGACAAGGGAATTTATCTACAAAGAGCCAAACACAGCT